TTTACAAATGAGTTATCACGTAACATACATAAAAAAAAAAACAGTCGAATTGAGAATCTCCTCCTTTTTTTAAAGTCGGTTAGTGAATACTAACTTGTTAAATTAATTAAACGACATAAAACACATCCCTCACATCACAATGACATTGTCCGGTCACTGTTGATTCGGTTTAAACAGTGTTACAATAGAAACAATGGAAAATAAAGGCAAGAAAAATATAGTGTTGCCTGCTTGGTGTTTTTCGTAACAAAATCGAGAAAAATAAAGACAAAAACATTGGCCGTCATACGTTTGTCGCTCTGCCCATAAAACCATCAATGCATACAAAAAACTTCATTTTCAATACGGGGTGCTAGGGATGTCAACCTACTGCGGATTTATTTATGGTATATCTATACAAAATATATTTTATATAGACGTGAGATTAGGGACAAGTATAGGGATAATCCTTTTTGTAGCTTATTCATACCATAAAAAAAGATAAAATACAGTAAATATACATTCGTTATGATTACATTTCATCAGTTCTCCGAACCAGAGTCTGGTCGTCCTTTGCGAGTTATATTTTAATAGATAATTAAAAAATAACAAGTTTCAACATTTCAATTTTGAATGAAATAGCACGAAATTTGTTACTTCTTGTTTAAAAGCACTTTGATGGGAAAGTTATGTAAAATTTAATAAATAACGTTTTTTGTGTATTATAATTTCGAATGTACTTTTAAATTCCAGTTTTAAATTTGGAACACTAAAGTAGTAGTAGAGCTCGTTGTGAAAGAGTTCGTCCAGGGCAGAATTGCAACCAACCAAGCAATTTGAACATTGTTGTGTTCCGGTTTTTATGGGTAAGGGTCACAGAGCAATAAATAGTTCGCGGAATGCCGCACACTTCAGCTCAAATCAAAATTTCATAGTGCCTAACATTATGATAGTGTGAATTTTGACATTTTAGAAATATTTTTTTTCCTCCGTGGTACAGGTGCTGGTGAAATTACAGGCACATGGGAATTGTCTGAAATTTATGTCTCAAGGTGACAGGTGCCACTCAGATCTTTGCGATTTAACGCACTGAGTGGCATTGCAACTGCTATGGACAGGCGTGTCGCTTACCACCAGGCGGCACGGCTTGTTCGTCCCGTCATTTAGTATCATAAAAAAAAAAAACAACTCTATTTCGCAAATTCTCTAAGATAGAATCAAAATATGAAAGTCTTACAAAATGTAAACTATTCGCTTTCGTATAGGTAGCGGATATTGGGATTCGGATGTCGACGTCTTTTACAACGCTATTCAAATATCTTTCGCATGGCAATATGTCCGGGCTGGGTATGGCTCTAAAACATATTTTACGGGTGTGCCCGAGATCGTGAAGGGTCATGGGGTGGTTTACGATCTGACTATCGCGTTAAAGGAGTCTCTATGACCTAATTCTGTGAAGATCGAGATTCTAACCCTTTGATGCTGTTTTGTGTTAACATTGAACTTTTGAACGGAGGAGAAGCGGGAAAAATTGTTTTGCTAGAGCAAATGTTTTATGTATTTACTATTAAATAACGATCTTATAAAAAATATACGAAACACCTAAGGATATTATCTAAAGAACGCGCTAATTCGTTACACGATGGGACGTACTTTACTCGATCATATAAAATCCCGAAAACGGGCTATAATAAAAGTATAAAACGAATTGATTAGGAATAAAAATATCTAACTTTGGATATAATTTTTTAAATATTGTAGAGAACCTGCTAAATTTTAGTTTTCAACTGAAGCCCTATAGTTATTAAATTCATATTTATCCCAAAACTTAAAAAATGCCCAACGGTTTAACGTCACGCCGCGCCGCCCGCTGCTGTGACGGTCGCCATCAGGCGTATGTCACTTGTGTCCTTATTTTATTCATATTAATTTTAAGCGCGCAGACTTTGGGACGCGAGAGGCAGCCCCTACACCTCACTTCCTAAAATCTAGGCTCCCGTTCAAATACCTCGCCTTAACCACCTTAAAAAAAGGAAGAAGTTATCAATTCGATTGTATTTTTTTATGTTACGTGATTACTCCGACCTTTGTGAATGAATTTGGCCTTTTTTTGTTGGAAAGGGGGTACTCGCAGTAGTCGCTCTGTTGAAAAACATCCACTTTTAAGGGCGGAAAATTAGGGAAAGATCCCGGTTTATTGGATTTCACTCACTTTCCGATAAACGATTTCAATATGGCAAATAGGTGGAATGCCACAAACCTTTGAGGTGAGTTTTTTTTATAAAAAAAATATAATTATATGATATCAAGAGACGTGTCCAACAAGTTGTGCTTGGTGACAAGCGTTAACAAGATCTGGTGACAAAAGTTGCTGTGCCACTCAGAGTTTTAAATTGCAAAGATCTGAGGGGCACTGCAACGTCCTCTTGAGACATAAGTTGACCTAGTCCCATGTCCCTATAGTTTCGCCACCACCCTTCAAAACTGGAATGCTGTACATCATGCTTACTGTTTGGATGGACAAATAGCTATTATGGCAGTTCTTCCCTGAACGAACTCTTTCACATCTCTACTATTACTGAAAATTTGCTTCTGATTTCGGCGCTGTCACTGCGCCCGTCACCCTTAGATATAAAGTTGAAAAGTCCCATGTACCTGGGGTTCCATTAGCAGTTCAAAATCGTAAAGAAAGAAGAAGAAGAAGTAATGCTCACGTTAGAATTTTAGCTTAAGTATTAAAGGAAAACAAACAGGTAGGTACGGAGCGATTGTTGCACATGGCGTCACGGTAACCTTTGTCATTTGATAATATGTACCTGTCTCTATTAGCCGTCAAGCGAGCGCAGGTGTATCGATGAGATAGATGCTTATTTGGCAGAATTTTCGCGCAAAATGTTTATATTTCATATTTTAATGTTCATTCAGGTAATATGATGACCTTGTTAACGTGATTTCGTACCTTTAGTATAATAATGCCACACGTGGTCATACATCAAAATCGCTTTCATAACATGAAAGTCATAAAAAGTTTCATGTATCATGAAACAAATTACGTGTACGTGAAATTTTATAAGGGCATGTATTTAAATGATCATTTTAAATTTGCAAAAACAGCAGGCAAAACAATCTAAATGGTCATCTTTTTTGATGATTGGTCCTTTTGCTCTGAGACACAAAACAAATTAAATAAATATATATTTTAATCTGTTCTAATGTTTGATTTGTATAAATTAATTTTGATAATTTCTAGTTGAGTCTCAAAACTTAGACAAATGACCATTAAAAAACTTGAAACCATGTTTGGAAACGCAGGCAAATTCATTCTGCTTTTTTATATACTAACCTAACCTAGCTTACTGTATATTGCAGGGCGCAACTAATATTTTGACTAATATGAAAAAAGGATCAAATATTATTTTTCACAATCAAATATTTATGATTAAATTTATAATAATTAAATTAATAATTAATTAATTAATAATTAAATTTATGCTTAAACATAATAATAGTGTTACCTTGAATGCAGTTCGTTTATAAATTATCCGTAGATCAACTTATTAGTTGATCTACGGATAATTTATAGCGGAATAGTGATTGATATATATCAATATCAATTCAATTTAGTAGCGGCTAAAAGCTCCTTGCGAAAGAGTTCGTCCAGAGAAGTACTGCCACCTTACCTATTGCTGCCACCAAGCAGTAATGTCCCCATTACTGTGTTCCGGTTTTGAAATTATAGGCACATGGGACTTGTCAATTTATGTCTCAGGGTGGCGGGCTCAGTGGCAGTGACTCTTAGATGATATAAAAATTCTTATTTAAGCATAAAAAGTTTTCGATCAATTATCGTCCGTCGAATTTTAAACTATTGTCCTGAAAAGTTATTGTTTTGCAGATGTGATCTTATTACACCTATAGTGCATTTTCATATAGGTCATGGCTTATACATTGGTCTCATGGTCATACATTGACAATGTTTTACTAATAAAACATGTATAAAGTCTCGATTTTCACTTAGAAAGGCGGACTGAAAAGCTTGTTATTTCCGTATTTCGTAATTTCATTAAGCTGTATTGGTTAGGATCCAAAAAAGTATCATACAATTTATTGTACGGGACCTGCTGGCTACACTGTTGTCTTAAGAGTTGTCGACTTTATAACAACAAACATATTATTCACTTAACTTCAAATAAGTGTGAGCGTAAGATTAAATCTCAGCGTGCCAAATATACCTACTTTAATTTACGGAGATTCGTAATACATTCCGCCAACATTGAATCGAAGCCAACGCCTACGGATTTCTAAGAAGTACCTTTTCGGAAACAAACAACATTTGATTGATATTCCACTGCTATAACCCTATCAATTTTCAAAGCAACTCTCTCTGCCAATTTTTGGTTAAAAACATGATAACATTTGCATACCTTTTTCAGAGCGCACGTCACCGCGGCATACTAATTTCCTTACCACAAACATGGTCCCTCGGCGCGCATCGATTACCGTCATTCTTATATCTTTATTATAAGTATTTTATCTAAATTATCGACAGCATTTTATGGCGTTTCGATTCCCTTGAGCGTAATTTTTGGTACGACCCCGCTCTATTTACGGAATAGCTTAGAAGCTATAACGTTAAAATTTATACGGGAGCTCGTGTCTCAGATTTTAGCTGTGCGCTATTTATCCTTAGTTACGATATTTTCCTTGGGCATAAATTTTCTCCTAGGATGTGGGGGCTCACAAAAACAATCTCACTAGCGTTGCGCTCATAAACTCTGGTAAACTTGATCGTAAAGAATTCATTAGTTTTTCCTAATTTTGTCGTAGAATACACGATGTTATCGAATATTACGCACATAAAATGCGATCAAAACTATATTGATTTTATGAAGTTAATTTCACTAAATTGTCTGTAAATTCAGCACTGTCAATTTTTTTCACAGTCATCTTCAAATTAAAAACCTTTGACTCTTCCATTGCCCTTACTTCAAGCAATAAAATAATAATATTTTTTGTTGCAGACGTCTGCTCACACGAACAGAGCATAAGTATACAACATATGGCTTCTAGCGTGACTAGTACTCGTGGTTTGGCGGTGACGCCACATCAACTAGCTACTCAGAGCGCGATGACTGTTCTTCGAGATGGGGGAACTGCAGTCGAGGCAGCTGTCGCTGCTGCTGCCACAATTGCAGTCGTTTATCCTCACATGAACAGCATAGGTGGAGATTCGTTCTGGCTGATTATCCCACCTCGTGGAGATCCTCTTGTCATTGAAGCTTGTGGTGTCGCCGGTAGTCAAGCCAACTTAGAATTCTATGAAGGATTTGACGAAATCCCTATAAGAGGTCCCAAGGCTGCTAATACAGTTGCTGGAACTGTCGGGGGGTGGCAAGAAGCTTTGGACTATGTGTCAGAATGTGGATATCAAAGGAAATCTATATCAAAACTCTTAGCTGATGCCATTTATTATGCCAATCATGGTTTTCCTATATCAACTTCACAAGAAGCTGATTTAAAAGAAGTAAAAAACGAAGGATGGTTATCAAGTGAATTTAAAAAAAATTTTTTACCAAATGGCACTATGCCTAAAACCGGCGAGATATTTTGCCAAAAAAAACTTGCAGAAACATTAAAACACTTAGTTGAAAATGGACTAACCAGTTTTTATAGAGGTAAACTGGCAAAAAAAATTGTGAAAGGAATGAAAGAAGTTGGTATGCCTATTACTGAGGAAGATTTGGCTAATTATGCCCCTATAAGAAAGCGACCTTTAAGATTATTACATAAATACGGAGAACTTCTGAATGTCCCACCACCGACTCAAGGTTTAGTATCATTGTCCATTTTAGGTATATTGGACAAACTAAACATTGACGGCAAAAATGAGGGAGAATTTATTCACACCACAGTTGAAGCAACTAAGCAGGCATTTGACATGAGAGATGAGTACATAAGTGATCCTATTTGTATGAAAATTGACCCTAATTTCTTGCTCTCTGATAAAGTAATTACTGCAATGGCTAATAATATTGGTCCAAAAGCTAGATCGTTGAGAAATGTCGTAGGACCCGGAGATACAGTTTGGCTAGGAGTAATGGATGACAAAGGATTTTCAGTTTCTTTCATTCAAAGCACCTATTCTACATTTGGAAGTGGAGTGGTTATACCCGAAACTGGTATATTGTGGCATAACAGAGGGATTTCTTTTACACTAGCTAAAGACCATATACGATCACTAAAGCCAGGAAAGAAACCTTTTCATACTTTGAATCCCGCTGCTGCTCGTTTGAACGATGGGAGAGTTATAATATATGGAACACGGGGAGGTGATGGTCAACCGCAAACACAAGCAGCAATTTTCCATAGATACGTTATTCAAAATGTACCATTACAGAAAAGTGTTTCAGACCCAAGGTGGTTGTATGGAAATACCATTGGAATAAATGATGATTCTTTGAAGTTAGAGGATAGATTTGATGAAAAAACGATAAAGTATCTTAAAGATAGAGGCCATAAGGTGGTCATTTTGCCACCATATAGCGCATGTGTAGGATTTGCTGGCATACTAGTTAGGCACTCAAATGGTGTAATGGAAGGTGCTTATGATCCTAGAAGTAATGGCAGCGCTGCAGGGTTTTAAAATTTAACGTTAATTTTTTTCAAGACATCTAGGTCCTCGAATTTTTCAGTCAATTGTGTTTAAACTGACTTTAGATTAAAAGCCAATTTAACATTTTTGCAATACATACACATAACAAAGTTCTGAAATTTGAGTTTGTAAAGCTAAAACCAATTTAACTTTACAAGATTGACGTTAATTTCATAACTAAAATTAGGTTAGTTAAAACTCCGAATTTATAATGTGACTCTAGTCTTGAAAGTGTTCTCTTGTAAATTACATTAATGACCTTACTTAATAATAATGTATAATTCCATCAATGCCACTAAAATACTTCAGATTCTTTTTATAAATTGAATGTTTAATAGTCTATTGTTATCCACGAGTCTTTGTTGGAGAAAAATCATCGAATAGATAAAGTAATTCAGTAGCAGTGAAATTAACAGTATTGGAACACTTTTAAATTAGACAATCTATTTGAAATATACTCTGTGGCATGAACAGTGCTGGCCAATAATTCATTTTTATTGGAAAGATAAGGGAACGAACAAAGAACCGAGGGCATAAAATGGTTTAAATCAAATTTCGCTGTTTTAAAATCAAACCTTGGATGGGTATGGCGTGATCGCGGACGTTTTAATGAAAGACTTGATTAATTTGCTCTTTTGTATTTAATTGGGGAAGAAATCAATTGCGAATGTAATGTCGTGACTTATGCTATTGCAAAGTTTAACGTATGCAATTTATATTCAATGTATCGAATACCTTCAACCTTGGTTGTAGGTTGAATGTCTTCGACGTAGAGTTTAAGTAGAATTTTATTACAGGAATTACTAACTTTAAGTTATTATACAAAAATTGTTGTCTTTATAAAAGGTTTGTTTTTATTAAATTATGTTTTATTTAGTTACTCGTGTGTCACCTTGGTACCTAAGTTTATAACAGCGTATAGGTAGTTTCAAAGTTCGTAATTATCTAAACATAGACCGAACTTAGACTTCTAATCCTTATTCGCGTAACAACTAACTGCACTGAATTCGAAGTCTGCAAGTTTATACACTTAAAATGGAATGTATTCCTAACAAAGCACATAAATTCTAAGATAAAATATGCCAATATGCTTCCTCTATTTTAGCTGGAATAATATAACTAGAATTGTGGCGGATATGTTGCAGTGTTAGCACGACGGCTTGGTTTTCAGGGGTAAAACAGTTTTGGTCGTTGTAGACATCTTTCATACTGTATAGAAGTATGCCGTCCGGTGTCCTCTAAAAGTAGCTTTTTGAATTCTATTCTTTTCAGATCATCATCAGCCTATATTGAAGTTCAATATACCAGTATTATATATACATAGGGCAAACAACGAAGATGCGCATAATTGACATAGTATCACTTGAAGAACTTGAAGATCAAGTGTCACTTTTTAGTAGCAGTAGAGCTCCTTGTGAAAGAGTTCGTCCAGTGAAGAGAATTGCCACCGTACCTACTTCTGCCACCAAGCAGTAATGTCAGCATTACTGTGTTCCGGTTTTGATGGGTAAGGGTGCTGGTGAAGTTACAGGCACATGGGACTTGTCAACGTATGTTTAGGGTGACAGGCGCAGTGGCAGTGCCCCTCAGATCTTTGCGATTTAAAACTCTGAGTGGCACTGCAACTGTTATGGACAAGCGTATAGCTCATCAGGTGCACGACTTGTTCGCCCCGTCACTTGGTATTATAAAAATAAGAAAAACATCGTGAGAATACTCTTTTACTCTTTAATAAAATCTTTAATAAAGCTGCCTCTGTGGCCGACGTACGATTTTCGGGACGGGAGAAATTATTCGTATGGCCTACATTTGTTTCTCTCGTGAGTTTGAGTGTAATTTGTGGTTGTCTATGGGTGTGTCCATGGCACCCGTGACACAGGGTTTCCCTAGTTAAGTGCGGTGCTATAACAAATATGAAATTACACTGCCTTGTGGTGTCGAAGTGAATGATTTTTTATGTACGTTTATTGATCTTATATGTAGGTACTAGGAACTATTAATGAACATAATGGTAGGCGAGATTTCAGGTGCTAAGTAGAGAAAAGCAAAATTGGATATTAGGCTAATTTCATATACTCAGTCTTTGCAATGTTCGCTTACTTAGTAGCGAAATAAATGGTAAGACTAGTCTGCAACACTGTAATCTTTTTAATCGCCGAGTAACGAGTTGTTTTATTGATGAGAAATAATTACTATAGTCACGTCATGTTGAGTTAAAGTGTACGTTTCTTCCAATTAGGTTTATTGCTAAGAATTATTATGTTTTGCAATAAGTAACTTTTTTATGATACTAAGTGGTAGGAGGAACAAGTCGTCCACCTGATGGTAAGCGACACGCCTATGCATAACAGTTGCAATGTCATTTAGAGCTTTACATTGCAAAGATCTGAGGGGCACTGCCATTGCGCCCATCACCCTGAGACATAAGTTGAAAAGTCTTGTGCCTGTAATTTCATCGGCCTTACCCTTCAAACTTACATTTTATATAAAATAAAGTGGCAGTACTCCCCTGGAAGAACTCTTCCACAAGGCGCTCTACTGCTGCATAGTAAAGGTTGAAAATTATTACAAGGTGTTATGTATATTTATTCAGATAAAAAATAAAAGACGAATATCAATAATCGACTAAACAGAACTTGAAAAGTAAGTTGTAAATATTAATTGAAAACAAATTTAATATATTTATTAAAATTGCTTTTTAACATCTGCTAAGAGGCTTATAAATTATTATTTCGCTTTTCTTTGTATGAAAATGAATTGTTAAATATAAAAATGAAAGTAAATTATAGGTTCAACACATTATAAATCATCAGTTGATCTTATATACGTGGGGCGCACTATAAGTGTCCGAAATGAATAAGAAAAAAATATTATAAATGGTCAGAAATGAATTTATTGTTTCTCAAAATATTTTTTGTTAGCGCTAATGCACTTTTTCATAGGAATGAACCAATTTTGAAAACATTTATTCCACTCTTCCGTGACAATCTCTGAAACATATTTTTCATATTCTTCGACAGCATCTCAGGTGATGAAAATCGTTGACCGCGTAACTGGTTCTTAATATTTGTAAAATGCTATAATTATAGAAATAAAATGGTTGTGTAATGGAAGATGTAACAACAAATAATCTATTTTCACTTTGTATAAGAACATTTGATATAATTTATAAAGGTATGATTACTCCCTGTATATGATCAACAAAAGGTATAACAACAAAAGGCATAATTTTAATGTGTATAATAAACCTTCCGCATAACAGACATAAGATATAAATTAAGTGACATATTGAACAAATGGTATAAGTACTACTACATAATGTATGAAATAATATAACACAATATTTCGTTTTATGAATAGTTGAAGCGTCCCATGTTACGTTGATAAGATTTATTTTATTTCATGGAATGTACAATTGCAAAATGTAATTGTTTTTGTATTTGTTTTAAGTGCTTTTTGTGTAATAAAATATATTTATTAAAGCTTTAGGCAGAATATTTAATTGTATATACTAACCTAACCTAAATCCACAGGAGAAGGTCAAACCAACTAGTAAATGCAAACAAATTCGGTTCTGGCAGCTTTGTCATATACTAAACCCACAGGAGGAGGTCGAACCAACTAGGATATGCAAACAAATTCGATTCATTCACCATTGCACCTAAACACCACTGGAATTATATACATTTATAATACATTATACTCAGTGGATGCTCTATCTGAAGTGTTTATATAAAATGAACATTACGCCATCGGTATATTAGTTTGAAAGTTGTTATATCAATCGTCTATTGTACCTTTATATCATGCAAGAATATGTGAAATGTCTGTATACCATAAATTAGTTATTTCTGTTGAGTGTTATATCGACTAAAAATACGTCATTTGTTGTTATATATTACGAACCGCACTCAAATATGATGTCACGGGCAGACCCGGGGCGCTACACTACTATACACAAATCCAAACCTGTGCGTCGCGTTGTGCAGCCCGAGCATTCAAAAACACTGTACGAGGGTGAATGCAACTTCACTTGCTTATGCTTCCTGCGCTATACGGCATTGCATTACTGTCTGTTTATATTGTGCTTGTGCTTTCAAATAAACATTTTTTGTGTGACTTACAAAACTCTGGACTTCCATTATACTTATTCCAAGGTAGGGTACCCACATAAAGTCTGTTTATTAACAATAGAAGTACGCAACTAAATACGTGTTTACATGCAATTTCTTCAGAAATTTCTATTGATATTCAATGAACTCAAAATACGTTCTTGTAACGCCCTTCATACTTATCTCTTCATCACAAAAAAAAATTATTTAAATTAATTTGAATTGAAATAATTTCAAAAAGTGTAACGTATTTCATAAGTTACAATATGAGTTCTAAGAAATTGTATGTAATAATAACTTTAATGTCTGTCTAATATAGGTAATCAATCAAAAATCATTTTTAATACAAGGTTCTTTTTTTTTCGTTATTTGGTAGTAAAGTCCAGAACGAATTGGAAATAAAGGAAGAACATTACTAGGGTCTGATTCTCGTGCTATAGAGAAACGTCATTGAAGAGAAATTTCGTAAGGCTTGGCAGACGTTGATTGCAGCTTTTTCTGTATATCAGAATATCACACACATAGACATATATATATATATATGTCGACTCAATATTCGACATCCAACGAGAATCGAATGTAGTACAATTAGGAAGTCGTATTTGACGTCATAGACATTCTATTTGGATGTGACAAACTGTTGACAAAAATTTGACTTTCAACAAAGATATGACATTAAAGAGGGTCAATAAAGTGTTTCGTTACGTTCCGTTATTTCAATTTGAAAGCTCTTGGAAAAAATATTTATCGATTATGTTTTGTATACAATCGATAAAGGTAAATACAAGTGCAATGTGGACCAACTTCACACAGCGAGCTTACAACGCCTTGCGTGTACAACGTGCACAATTTTACAACATTTTTAGGGTTCTGTTGAGGTTTCCTCGCTTTTGCAGCGCCTCTGGCTTGCTTAGGGATGTAGATGATTTTTACGCAATAATGCGCAAAAAAGTGCGTCTCAGATGTTGCGTTTGCGTGGGGGCACCTATGGTATCCTGAGGAAGATAGGAGAAAGAATGGACTCGGCTATCTTCCGTAGATTCACTGTGTTACACTTGGACATATAATAATGTATTTATAAAAATAATGTAACAAAGTAATTTAATTTAATGTATTGTAATTGTTTTTCTTGTTTCTACTAACTTAGCTCATAAGATTGTTACCAACAAATTAATTTGAATCTGATAAAAACGGAACGTGTACTGAAAGTCTATACAACCTCAAATGGCTTTGGTGGACTCCGCGTAACAGTGAAATTGTTGAATCAATCACTTTGAAAAAAATATATAGTAAAATTTAGGATGTACACTGATTACTATACGGTGTGAAAACACGATTCCTAAAAGTTTTCACGATAGAAAAAAAAAAACATAAAATTACCTCGAAATTTTACAAGAAAACTGTGGTATTCAGTAGATACCTTACATAATACACCAAAGATTTTTTTTGTATCAACTGAACTAAATACGTATACTATACGATATACATTTTTCAAATGGCTTTAATTGAGTTTGTGAAAAAATAAATTCTGAAATAAAGCCAGTCTCCCTGCTTCTCGACCCAAGAACCGTATAAATACGGGAAAAATCTCAATTCGAGCCGGGGTAAATAGACTCTTAATGAATGATTTAAAATGTTTCGGCCAAGCATTGATATCGAGCGTGAGAATTTTTTAAGCAGTTAAGATCTTAGTGGTATTACCTGTGTAGACAATTATAATAACGATATTACCTATCGATATTGAATTCGAGAGAATATCGCAACGTACGGGAATTGGTCCCGAGTCGAGTGCTAGTTGAGTGGTGCTGGCGGAAAAATATATTTTAGTAGATGTCTCTAGTGTATGAGAACGTTGTTGTCAGAAAATTTTAAAATATGGTACAGTAAGACACGCGAATTTTCAGAATCTAATTTTTAATATTTAAATTTTTTTTCACTATAGCGGTAATGTGAGTATCGTGTTCCGTACTTGTAGACATAATACATGCGATCATTGTCAATTTTGAGAGTAAATTGACAAGAACTGTGTAGAAATTATATTCCGATTATAGCATACTTACTAATATAAATTTTTAATTTCCTCAATTATTAATATTTTTATTTAGTGACGTAGTAGATGTATGCGCGTGATGTATATAATTCTCTAAAGTACTTGTGACCTATTTGGCATAGCTTCCAAGGAAAAGGAATCTAACAGAGAGAAGCTCCGCTCACGCGATTCATGCGTCTCTGGAAGCGTACCACACCTAGAGGTGCCGGTGATGATTTTATACCGATTTATCGGATATCGAAGTTATAACAGGCAAAAGACTAATATTAATTGCTATTTCGGTAACTACTCTAGCAAACCATAAAGTTTTTAATGCCTGGGTCTGTGTATAATTATATGGAATGTGTTAAATATGACTAGAAAGATGGATAAATTCCCTATCATATAAATACAAGGAATATTTTAATGACATACCTAACTTATGTTGGAAGAAATAACATTTTCATTACAAAATTGAGTTTATTTCTTCACGCCAACCACATTTAAACCGAACACAAACGGTTGAAGTAATGTCGGGTGGAAAAAGGCTGAGGTCGGAGTCTGGTATCGTGACGGTTGGGATTCCACAAGGAGATGCGCTAGGGAATACCCTTTTTATGACCTCTATAAATGATCTACCATCTGCCGTATCGGAAGGTCAAATAATTCTGTATGCTGATGACACAACAGTTGTGGCCAATGCGCGCGCATACGAGCAACTCAATAAAAAAATCACTACAGTTTGCGAACAACTAGAAAGATGGTTTTCAGCAAATGGTTTGATTCTCAACGTAAACAAATCAAATGTTATGCTCTTCTCTGGTAGGCGTGTTTCGAGTGTGAGTATCCAGTGTCCTATTCCGATGAGTGACAAATGCAAATTCTTGGGTTTTACGTTGGATCCTACCTTGAATTGGAAACAACACGTAGACTTGCTATGTGATAAGCTGAGTGGTGCGATGTTTGCTCTGAGTAAACTAAAACCGTTGGTGTCTCGTAATGCGTTGAGGCAAGCGTACTTTGCATACTTCCACTCAACTATGACTTATGGTGTTATTCTGTGGGGCAATTTGACAGACGCTGACAGGGTAATGCGTATACAAAAGCGAGCGTTACGAACTATGGTTGGCATAACCCAGAGGCAATCCTGCAAGGTGCTGTTTGGTGTACACCGAATAATGACCCACTATTCGTAATATGTTTTTGAGGTCATCATGTTCACGCGGAAACACTTAGAACAGTTTGGGCGAGTGGAGGTGATGGGTGGGTGCCTCAGTCGTGCGGGACAACTCTGATCAGTACCGCATCGCACTGCTCTTCACGAAAAAAACCCGCGGGTTATAGGACCGACCTATTATGAGCACCTACCTGCCGAACTAAAAAACTAATGTTGTGAGGATACGTTCAGGTGCAGACTGAAGAACCTTTTATTGGAAAAGTCCCTTTACTCAGTAACAGAGCACACTCAAAGTACTTAATAAATAATTAAATTATTATATTTATTAATGAATTTGACATTCATCGTATTATTATACTGCAATATACATTTATTAGTTATTAAGTATCCATATTGACATTTTCTGTATACACTTGACATTGTTAGTTTAATTCAATTATTTATTACTTTAATTTAATTATGTTTCAATTTGTATATGTACACTATTGTGTACTTATGATTCACTATTATATAATTATTTTCTTCATGATTTTGTAAACTTGACGCTCACTTTTCGAAAAGTAGTACAAAATGACATGTAATTCTACATATTTGTATGAAATTTCTAATGTTGAGAGAAATAAACTAAACTAAAGTAATGGCGGCCATATGTAAAAATTTCAAAAATTTATTTTGACCGCCAATATCAGGCAATCCTTGAAAACTTTTCCTGCCAATTTTCAGCCCAAGCAAAGCAGGTTTTATTAACAGCCATTTATATAAAAAAAGCACACTCATATGACGGCTACATCGAAAAACGGCAACGAAATTTTTGCTCATTCTTCTCAAGGGAATCTGCCGTACGAATGAGCAGTAGAGTTTAATCAATGTGACGATTTCAAGTGCCTTTTGCTTAAATAAAAATTATTTGAGGTTTGTTTTGACATTTATACCACACTTGTAGGTGCTAATGTTTGTAGGTGCTAAATTTATTAACTAATTTGTAAAGTTTTTTTCGCAAATATCGAGCTGAAAGATAAAAAGAAATACTAACTTGTTAAAATAATTAAACTACGTATATATCACATCACGTTATTGAGTTACTGTTGAGAAACAAAAGAAGCAATGGAAAGTAAACGCAAGAAAAATATAGTGTTTCTTGCTTGGTGTTTTTCGTAACAAAAACGGAAAAAATGAGGATAGAAACGTTCGTACGTTTGTCGCTCGTAAAATCATCAATGTTAACAAAAAACTTCATTTTCTATACGGGGTGCAAGGAATGCCAACCTACTGCGGATTTATGTGTAAGATTTCTTTTGATAAAGGATATTTTACATAAGCGTAAGTTTAAGGACTATCATTATTTGTAGCTTTTTCACACCATTCAAGAAAGTAATAAAACGCAGTCCACTGAAAATTAGAAAACCTATCAACGTCGATCGTAACAACGTCAGTCCTCCGAGCCAGACTGGATCATTAACATCCTTTGGTCTATCGGAGTTGGATTCGATCAAGTACCAAGTCTGGAAAATGAAGACCGCTCAGCATTTCGCATCTACATGAAGCCTGCTGCCATTTAAGCGGAACAATGGTTGTCACCCAGAGTTAAGATGACACTGCAGATCAAGAGAAGAACACCTAAGAAATACGAGTGGAACACGAACGATTACGGTGATTGGCACTGGATCCGCCACTGTTGCCGTTGTTGCAGTGACGCCAGAATATGGAGGCACATCCCTACGGGGGGAGGCCTATGTACGTCAGAGGAGGGAGCTCTACGTACCCACCGCTGTTATCAACCCACTACCCACTGCTATCAACACCGCAGCCCAGTCAACAATACCGAGGTCACCTGAATACTCGCAAGGATCAACAACGACTATTACAGCGCCATTACGACAGGTAGAGCTTGAAAAAGACGAAAATCTAGCGGAGATTCATTGAAGCGAGCTACAAATGGAAGCTCTTATTAGAAAAGTTGTTGATTGTATTTTAAGATTTTATCGATTTTATGACGTTAATTTATAAGTTATATTATAAATTCTGCATTGCCAATTTTTGTTCACAAAAATCTTTAAATTAATAACCCGTGGTACTTACATATTAATGCTTTTACTTTAAACAATAAAACAATTTTTTTTGCAGATATTATACATGGCGTCTAGCGTAACTAGTACTCGTGGTATGGTGGTGACACCACATCAACTAGCTAGTCAGAGCGCTGTGACTGTTCTTCGAGATGGGGGAACTGCAGTCGAGGCGGTTGTCGCTGCTGCTGCCACAAATGCAGTCGTTTATCCTCACATGAACAGCATAGGTGGAGATTCCTTCTGGTTGATTATCCCACCTCGAGGAGATCCTCTTGTCATTGAAGCTTGTGGTGTTGCCGGTAGTCAAGCCAACTTTGAATTCTATGCAGGACTGGATAGAATCCCTATAAGAGGTCCAAAAGCTGCTAATACAGTTGCTGGAGCTGTCGGGGGGTGGCAAGAAGCCTTAAATTATGTATCAGAATGTGGCTATCAGAGGAAATCTACATTAAAACTCTTAGCTGATGCTATTTATTACGCTGAGCACGGTTTTCCTGTATCAACTTTACATGAAGCTAATCTAAAGATAGTGAAAAACGAGGGATGGTTTTCACCCGATTTTAAAAAAACTTTTTTGCCAAATGGCACCATACCTAAAGCCGGCGACATATTTTGCCAGAAAAAACTTGCAAAAACATTGAAACACTTAGCTAAGAAGGGACTATACAGTTTTTATAGAGGTAAACTGGCAAAAAAAATTGCGAAAGATATGAAAAATGTTGGTATGCCTATTACCAAGGCCGACTTGGCTAATTATACCCCTATAAGAAAGCGACCTTTAAGATTATTACATAAATGTGGCGAACTTCTGAATGTCCCACCACCTACTCAAGGTTTAGTATCATTGTCTATTCTAGGAATATTGGACAAACTAAATATAGACGGCAAAAGTGAGGGAAAGTTTATTCACACCACTGTTGAAGCAACTAAGCAGGCATTTGACATAAGAGATCAATATATAACTGATCCTGCCTATATGAAAGTTGACCCTAATTGCTTGCTCTCTGATAGAGTAATTACTGCAATGTCTAATAATATCGGTCGAAAAGCGAGACACTTGAAAAATGTCAAAGGACCGGGAGATACGGTTTGGCTAGGAGTAATGGATGATAAAGGATTTTCAGTTTCTTTTCTTCAAAGTACCTATTATACTTTTGGAAGTGGAGTGGTTTTACCCGAAACTGGTATATTGTGACATAATAGAGGGGTTTCTTTTACACTAGCTAAAGACCATATACGATCACTGAAACCAGGGAATAAACCTTTTCATACTTTGAATCCCGCCGCTGCTCGTTTGAACGACGGAAGACTTATAATATACGGAACACGGGGAGGCAATGGTCAACCGCAAACACAAGCTGCAATTTTCCATAGATACGTGATTCAAAATGTACCATTGCAGAAAAGTGTTTCTGATCCAAGGTCGCTGTATGGAAGTAACAATGAAGAAAATGATGACACACTGAAGTTAGAGGATAGATTTGATAGAAAAACGATAAAATATCTTACAGACAGATCTCATAAGGTGGTCATATTGCCATCGTACAGTGAATCTGTAGGACAAGCTGGCATGTTAGTCAGGCACACAAATGGTGTAATGGAAGGTGTTTATGATCCTAGAGCTAATGGCAGCGCTTCAGGATTTTAGAATGTAAGGTTATTATTTGTAAAATCTTACGGGTTCTTTCATTTTCCAGGCAAGTCAACGTTATATTTAAATTGAACCTAGATTAAAAGCCAATTTCAAATTTATCAATACATACTCAGTTAATAAAGTTCCAAAATTTGAGTTTGTAAAGCTAAGACCAATTCAATTTCAACTTTATAAGATTGACGTTAATTTCATAACTAAAATTAGGTTAGCTGAAACTCAGAATTTATAATGTGACTCTAGTCTTGAAGGTGTTCTTTCGTAAATCAGATTAATGACTTGCTTAATAATAATGTATAATTAGGTCAGTTTTACAATTTGGATACCTTTTCTTAATCTATCAATGCCACTAAAATACTTCAGATTCTTTTTATAATTTGAATCTTGAAAAGTCTATTGTTATCCACGAGTCTTTGTTGGAGAAAAATCTTCGAATAGAAAAGTAATTTAGTAGGAGTGAAATTAACAGTATTGGAACATTTTTAAATTAGACAATCTATTTGAAATATACTCTGTGGCATGAACAGTGCTCGCCAATAATTCATTTTTATTTAAAGATCAGGGAACGAACAAAGAACCAAGGTCATAAAATAGTTTAAATCAAATTTCGCTGTTTTAAAATCAAACCTCGGATGGGTATGGCGTGATCGCGGACATTTTAATGAAAGACTAGATTAATTTGCTCATTTGTATTTATTTGGAGGAAAAAATATACCAATTGCGAACAACATTTCGTAAATTGCAATGCTATGGCAAAGTTTAACACGTGGAATTTATATTCAATATGTCGAATACCTCAGGTTGAATATCTTCGTCGTAGAGTTTAACAATATTTTTTTTAATAGAAATTACCAACTTTAAGTTAACACAAAACATTGTTCTTTGTATTATTGTCTTTATAAAAGCTTTGTGTTTTTTAAATTATGTTTTGTTTAGTTATCTACGTGTGATCTTGGTACTTAAGTGGATAGTTTCAAAGTTCGTAATTATCTAAAAATTGAACGACCCTAGACTCTTAATCCTTATTTGCGTAGCAACTAACTGCACTAAATTCGAAATCTGCAAGTTTATAAGCTTAACATAATGTATTTGTAACACAGTACACAAACTCTAATATAAAATATATGTACCAATACGATTCCTCAATTTGGAATTATATAATGTTGCAGTGTCGTTTTCAGGGGTAATAAATGTAAGTGTGGGTGAACGACGACGATGTTTTTTATTATTATAATATCAAGTGACGGGACGAACAAGTCGTGCGCCTGATGGTAAGCTATACGCCTGTCCATAACAGTTGCAGTGCCACTCAGAGCTTTAAATCGCAAAGATCTAAGGGGCACTGCCACTGCGCCCGTCACCCTGAGACATAAGTTGACAAGTCCCATAAGCCTGTAATTTTACCAGCACCCTTACCCTTCAAAACTGGAACACAATAATGCTGACATTACTGTTTGATGGCAGGAAGGTAGCAATACTTCCTTGGACGAACTCATTCACAAGCAACTCTATTGCAACTAAAGTAAGATGATGATGAAGATGTTCGTAACTGACAAACATAATGAGAATGCTCTTTAGTACTTTTTTATAGTGTCAGACAACCACACTAGTTACCTGATTTTAAAACTACAAAATACCTGCACTATGAATACCAAAGTAACGAAATTAAATTCAAGGCATTAATCAGGACACCAAGATTAGGACCTATCTAGAAAATACGATACAAATATTCTTTATTTCAAATATAAATACAAAAAAAAGACAGTGCACCAGGCGGCATTATTGGTCCATTATTGGGTGAAAATCTTTAAGGTAAATAATCAATCGAGGGTGCAACAGAATACGTATTTAGTACACATTTGCCGTCCACAAACAACGTCAACAACAACACGTCGGACAAATGGTCAAATAACCGTTTCAAATTGTTTGCAATTGTGTTTGCAAATGTTTATAGGGCTCAAAATTTCCCTTTTAAAAACAGTTAAAATTAGTTAGCGTTTTCAACTTATCCGAACTTACCCTAACGATGCATCGCTGCAATGTCATTAAAAAATTTTGAATACCTATTCTAAAACTGGGTTATGTATTTATACATCTCAAAAAATTATTTTGTCACTTAGCCGCGTTTTAGTTAGCAGACGGCAATATTGCACTTACGCAAATAAAAAAAGGAAACAAAATAAATAAAATACTGTAACAAACCTACTTTATGTAATAGACGGCCTTAAGCCAGATTGTTCACTTTTAGTTCTCTAAGAATCCGCTAGATGGCACTGACCCATATGGCGTTATTTCTGAATCGCGGTGTTAAGATTTACCCTCGAATGGTGACTACTCGAACACAATTTTGTTAATGTGAAGAGAAATCGGAGAATACAGAGAGCTCAATAAGGCAACCAGGAGTTGAGTCCCTTCTTGGTAACTGCTACTCGGATCTTCTGATATTTCGTACGCTCATACAGGGTGAAAAAAAAGTCTCATCTCGCGGATCGGTTTCCAGGAGTCAAGTCCCTTCTGGGAACAACTGCCCGGACCTTCCGCATGTAGGGTGAAGTTGTATTGGGCGACATACAAGGTGAAAATAAAAATCTTTTGGACCATTTGGAGTTTCAATTGGCTTGTTTTGGTAACCTCATCCAACGGAAGAAAGAACCTCCCTCCTTTACAATACTTAATAAATTAACAATATTGTTTTTTATTATTATGTTTCATATATACTTAAATAATTTAAAACATAATAATAAAAAAAGAATGAATATTGTGTCACATTAAGTTCCAGTAGCGCAAACAATCAGCGCTTAGTCTGTAAATGTAAGGACCGTGTCAACGAACCAGTCTCAGCGTTAAATAGGCTAAATAACGGTCTCCTCGGGGTAAGTGAGTGATGGCCCCGGGTGTAAAGTTACTTATCTTATGAGTGCAATGGTAAGTATAGGGCCGGTCACGGGTGATTGTCTGGACGCGCGTGAAGCTGGAGTTGGGTCTAGCAGTATTCGGGCCCTTAGACGCGGCAGGTTGGCCCAACCATTTGGCCAATCTACAGACGATCCATCACTAACAGTTGGCTTGGCATCAGCAGGAGCTGGAGCAACTCGATCCCAGCAATCGATGTGCCCGCCGCTGGTGAAGTACGGCTCCGCATGGCATGGACGTTGGATATCAATAAAAATGTCATGCATGGGCAGTAATGTATCGCATATTTCTTTTTTCTTTCGACATTAGATATAGACCTATCTATATACCTACATTCTTGTTGGAGGTATTGCATATCCAGCAGTGGGACGTATGCAGCCTAGCAACGATAACGAAAATAGCGAATTATACCATTAATAAAAAATATCATAATTATTCAAATACGTTAAATTCCTTTATTCTCATAAGGACAGATTCTCAATAGGACGGATTCTCAAGAAGACGGATTCTCATGAAGACAGATTCTCAAAAAACCGGAAATTGTACAGGTGCACGCAAAAGTATTTGAAATACGCCTCGGTAACATAAGTTTAACGTATGTCTGCATGTTCCTTGCGCGTTGGTTACTTTTTGTATGGGCCTTTAAATAGTACTTTTTTTTGTCGTCGTGGCGATAATTGAGGATGCCTATCATTGAGGGATGCCTATTTCTAGCAGTGGACGTCTTTCGGCTGAAGTGATACTGATGATGATATCACAATATTTGGTCAAAATGTCAATCCACTGTTCCCAGGGTGTAAACAAACCGATACATCATAAATGGTTAATTTGTGCATTTATGATGCACGTGATCATTTTTTAAATTTATTTGAAATTATTAATTGATCCTTTTTTTCACAATACATAACATATAACGCATTATGGTGTGTCGGTTTGTTTCATCATCATCACACAGCCTGTATACGTCCCACTGCAGGGCACAGGCCTATGTATGGACCGTGGGTATCCATACACGATGCTTGTTGTTGACTCCCGGGGAATAGTGGATTGAAACAGCAGAGTAGGTATATGAGTAAATTGCAGTGGAAAGTGTAATCTCCTTGCTGTATAATTTGTTTTGTTACTGGTGATTTGATAAAACTAATTATTAAACATGTCATTGATTTGACATTGTCATGAAATATCTTGAATGTAAGCTAATTTTCCTATCTCTATGTAAAATCATTGATTTTTTTTTCAAAAATGGATAAAGCGGGCCCTAGTTCTGGAAAAATTAACATCGTGATAATTGAAGGAAATAAAGGTACGACTCAGTTTATGAGCTGTTAATTTTTATGAATATTCATTTACTGTGTCAGGACAGTTTTCCTATCGTCTCTGTTCCGTTTGGAGCTGTACAACATGTATTGATGGATAGAACTGGGGAGTAGTTCAGTTGTGATAGATCGGTTGACCGGACCATACCATACCTAAACTTTCATGTGGTAGTACAGTTAACCGGACAGACGATAATTCTTAGTGACCATGGGTACAGTCAAATCTATAGACAACCAAAAGTTTAGCTGTGGTCCTGTCAACCGGTATATCACGACTGAACCACGGAAAAGAAGCACCGAATGAAGTTTTTTACTTATTGTTATAGGTAAAGGCCGGTTATCGAATCAAGGAATGGTGCTTCTGCACGCTGGCCATAAATATAATTTTGTTAAAACAAATATGTGTGGTACAACTAATTGGCGATGCGTCAATAAAAACATTTGTGGCACTTCCATAACATTAACAGCTGATAATAAAGAAATTGTGAAAGAAGCTAAACATGTATGTTTACCAGATTATGAACGTAACAAAATTGATTTCACAATGTCATTAGCCAAACAAGAGGTTTGTCTTAATATGGCGCCTATACCTGAAATTTTTGAGAAACACTATTACAAACTTCATAAACAGGATTCTGATCATACATTTGGTCAGGGCGAAATGCTTTCCCCAGAGGAATTACCTACATTCAGTTCAAAAAAGGATACGCTGTATCGGGCACGCTATAAATTTTTAAATGTAAAAAAAAGTAAATTTTTGCGACCCCA